GCATATATTGGATATAAACTTTGTAATTGTTTTAAACTCTTAAATTATTTTCTAAAACGTAATTAAAATGTTAAACAGATTCCATGTTATTGATATATCTACGTACTAGATTCTAAATTTCATAGCAAATTGTAGATAAATTAGAATCGGAGCAGCGCAGATAAACGTAGAAAGAAACCCGAGATGATGGGTGGGTTTGGTTTTTCGGTACTGCGTCGCTCGTTTTTCCATTTCGAATCATTCCTGTTGCGTTCTTCATCGGCGCGGTTTTTTTTCCACTGTCTCTGGAGCAAACGTTGGAATCATGTACTGGTTACATTTATTTGTCTCCATCATCTGTTCGATTGTCCTGACCGAAGCTGAGCAATGCTCCAAGGATAAACAAACTCCGACCGTCAGACTCAAGAAGGATCTGTTGTGCGGCTACGATAGAACAGTTCGTCCGACTTTAAATCATGGAAACACGACCAAAGTCAGTGTGAGGATGGTGCTGAAGTCTTTCACATACGTAAGGATATCATCATTTCAATCTTAGAAAATAATTGTTTTCTATTCTTTTTTGCAGCATTCCCACGAAAGCACTTTATCAGTCAACAGTTGGTTAGCTCTGGTGAGTCGCAAAGCTCAAGAAGTTTACAATACATTTTGTTTAAACATTTTTTTTTATTTAGGTGTGGAACGACGAACACCTAGTTTGGGATCCCAAAGATTACGACAACCTGCAAACGATTCACATCAACAGAGATTCCATTTGGTACCCGGATCTTTCCATTTACAACAGGTAATTTGTTCCATTTTACAAATACATTTGTTTTTAATTTGGTTTTATTTCAGGGCTGATCAATCTGGAGATCCGAGCGCTCTGACCGCCGTCGATTGTTTGCTGTTGCACAAGGGAAACGTGATCTGCATCCCTCCGACGAGACACGAAGCCATATGCGTTCCGAATCTGTCCAAGTATCCTTTCGACGTGCAAAATTGCACCCTGCGCTTCGGATCCTGGGTGCACAGCGGCGAAGAGATCGACTTCAAGCTGACCGATCCGCCCGTAACGACCGACGATTTCGTGGAGAATCCAGAGTGGAAACTGCTCAAAGTGAACGCATCCAAGCACAGCGGCATCTTCAAATGCTGCCCCAACAACAGTTATCCCACGTTGAACTATTACTTCACCATCGAAAGGCATTCGGGATCTTTAATCTGCATGATCGTCGTTCCTGCTTTAGGTATAAATTTATCCTAATTAAAAAACAATGATAAACCAATTTTTGTTTTAGGTATGATTTTCATGACTCTGATAACTCTAGTGATGAGTCCTGAAGAGATGGAACGGATTGCGCTCATCTGCAGCAACGTCATTTTCCATCTGTTGTACCTCCAAAACATATCCTGGCAAATACCGATCAGCGGCGCCCAAGCTCCACTCATACGTAACTATAAACATTTCCATCATCTACTCATATAAAATATTCTTCATTTATTCCAGTTGTATTCGCCAGAGATTCATTATTGCTCACTATTTTTACTCTTTTATTGACTGTAATTCAACGTAAATTGATCAGAACAACAACACAAAGCCCAATGTGGATGTCCAAAATGGTTGCAGCTATTATTACCAGCAGACCGGGACAAGTCTTTTTCATATTCGATGATAATCTAAAGGTAAGAAGTATCTCAACGAATTACTTAAAACATTAATCAGGTGTACCAACGATGCTTATGTGGTTAAATCATATCTTTTGTGTAGAATAATAAATTACTTACCTTTAACATAATGATCATAGTATTGAATATAAAAAAAAACTTAACATGTTAAAACTGAATGGTTATTATAATTATGATTATTCTTTGTTTGCAGAGCGTTGCAAATAGGATTGGCGACGAAGACGGTGCAAATATCATCGAGAATTCGCAGACGCAAGGACCCAACAAGGACTGGTTGATTTTCGGAAGGATTCTCGACAAAATCTGCTTCATCTCCTATTGCATCATTTACCTCTGCATGTTCATAGCCTTCGTTCCTTGAGACATCATCAATCGACATGTTAAATCTTAAGATTACATTACTATAAGATTATATACAAACTATAATGTTTCAAGGATTAATAAATAAACAAATACTTTTCGACTTACCTTGTTTAATAATAATTTACACGGGAATGGAGATTTTAGGTAAATTAAAGGTGAACTCAATTTGGAATTTGATTATTTTTATTAAGCAACTTTACATTAAAGCTATTTTGTAGCCTGTACAATAAGTAACCTTCTTCGCTTCGTACGAATTCGCCTCGAAGAAGAGGAAAAAAAAGAGACAATATAATACTTCTTTCGAGAATATAAAAAGAAAATAGTAATACAAAAAAAAATAAATCTTACAAAAACAAATTACAATGTACACTTATAATTAAAACAATAACGGAAGTAAACAGTGTTGTTGCTGCTGCTGCTGTTGTACGTTTGGATTTACGTTTATTTTGCGCTTAACGTATTCCAAAAAATATGGGAAGAAAAACTATTACGCACTGTACAGACTGCAAGAGTTTAAGTAAAAAAATCCTTCGTGTCTTCGTGTCCATGCATTCAATTCTATCACCATTTGCTCGTTACTTGCACCATTCGCTCTCGACCATCATTACTTTTTTTTTTTTGTATAATTTTTTTTTTCCTTAATAATTTTACAAATGCTCCCACTAAAACTGGGATTCCATCAATTAGTACATATATATATATAGTAATATATATTATTTTCTAGTTTTATTTTTTTCAATATATTTGTTGTCTCAAAAAAAAAAATTACATGTTAATAAATCAACGGAAGAAGACTAAACGTAATTAATTACATGAACAAGTGCATCAAGCAAGGAGGAGAAAAATTATATATATAAAAAAAAACTATGTATATTTATAATAATATTAATAATAACGTTATCTAAATTAATTAATTAATTAAAAAAAAACAAGATACGTTCCGCATCTCTCGCGTTTTAAGTTATATAATCTTTATATTATTTACTTTTTTTTTTGTTTGTTCTCTCTACTAAACGTTCTTCTCAGTCTACTATAAATGTTTTTCTCTTCAAGTCCTTAATTCTTTACGTATTACTTGCTAGAAAGACAAGACTCGTCTTTACACTATTTACACATTTAGTAAGTCATGTTCCTCGTCGAAACAGAGACGAGTGAAGGATCATGCGTTGAGGTTTACTTTTGACCACTGGTTTTTTATTAAATACGAACTTATGAAATATTTTTTAAGAGTGCTTTCTTTAAAAAATACAAAAAAAAAATAATAATCTAATCAAGATTCCCTCCTCCATCTCGCACAGCATCACTAGATTTAGTAAAATAACAATGATCAAATCAACAAGAAATAATGTCTATCATTAGATTGAGGTCCTTTAAAGCTTTTCCTTCTTTGCAATTATCAGCGCTCTCCTTCATCGTCCACCAATCGAGATGTATAAAATCTCGTTTTATTAGTTTATTTTTTATATGTTTGCTTTAGTTTTGCATGCACACACCCACGACTATGGAATGCTTTCTCATCGAGAACAAAAAGAGTGAGTATTCTACGGTGGAGTCGTGGCTCACTTAGGTGTGTAGGGGTTGATGACGGTCACTGCTGCGGCCTGTTGGCTTGCCAACACAGCAGCTGCAAAAAACACACAAAGAGAGGTCTCTTTAAATGGATTCCCACAAAAACAAAAAGAAAAACAAAACAACATCAAAACAAAAACAAAAATAAGAACGGATCGGATCAAGGCAACAGTGAAATATAACCAATACACCAATCGGGA